CACAATTGCACTTTAGGGGGCATTAAATGCTTTTGCAGCCTGATGAATCAGAGTAATTATCGGATGGTTGTGTTGGATCATGGCAAGCTTGTTTAATGAGAAAATTAAGGTACTTTCGACGACTTTTATTACCTTGCAAACTCCAAATGCATATTAGCGGGGGTTGATGTTTCCGAAAATGCTTTTATCTGGGACCTCAGCTTCAATTTAACTGCATCTAACAAATTATCAGTATGCTTAAATTAGCTGGGCAAGTTTTATGGTTGTTGCTTTTATGGTCATCCGTGGTCAGATTTCTCATAGTTAACAAAAGGAAGTAAATCCCACCCAGGCTCACAATTTTGATGGGCCTCCCAGGCTAAAGCTGGTCATACACCTATAGATTATCTGCAGATTTTCTATGGTCAGATGGAAAAAGTGCAACAGATTCCTCCATCTATGCTAAACCGCCTTCACTCCTTTTCCTGCTTTCTACACATTTCCCTTTTCTCCACTCTTCCGCCTTCACTCCTTTTCTTCTCCTGCTTTCTGCAAACTTCCCTTTTCTCCACTCTTCCACCTTCACTCCTTTTCTTCTCCTGCTTTCTACAAACTTCCCTTTTCTCCACTCTTCCACCTTCACTCCTTTTCTTTTCCTGCTTTCTACAAACTTCCCTTTTTTCCACTCTTCCACCTTCACTCCTTTCTCCACTCTTCCGCCTTCACTGCTTTTCTTATCCTGCTTTCTACAAACTTCCCTTTTCTCTACTTCCCCACCTTTACATCTTTTTATTTCTGCCTTTACTTCCTTCTTTCTAAACACTTCCCTTTTCTCCACTCTTCCACCTTCACTCCTTTTCTTTTCCTTCTTTCTAAACACTTCCCTTTTCTCCACTCTTCCACCTTTACTCCTTTTCTACCTCTTATTTTCTTGCTTTACCTCCTTCTTTGTTTCTTCGTTTTGACATGCAAGATGACATTGTCAATAATTCAGCCATGGTTCATGCAGCTTCCAATGATATGCCAATAATTATTGTGAGATGGGATTCTCAGGTCACACAGCAGCTCAGAGCCTTGAACCCATCATTGCTTTGATTGAAAGTGTGTTAACATGCGTGATATGCTTTTTTTTGTGGTACTTTTAAGCTTTCAATTACAAAAAAAACAAGTTTGGGTTGCACATACACGGTAAATAAAATTCCAGATAGTTCCCCGTCTCATTCAACATCTGAACAGCCCTAAAGAACACGGTATACGTTCTGTATGAGAACACATGTCAAGGGAGAGTGATTTTTTTTTTCCTTCATAGCTGGAAAAGGCCTTCAATGTTCACTGGTAAATTATTAAAACAAAGCAGGTTGTGTAAGCAGTTCTTTAGAGGACATGACGTGCATAAAAGTTGTACAGCAGATACAAAGTGAAAGCACTACAATGGATGTCTATTCTAGGTCAACATCCAGAAAGTAGTCCCGCAGCACATGCCTAAGAATGGCAGCTTAATCTTAAGGAAGTGGGTGGATGGATTCAGTTTTAGAGCAAACTGAATTGTGAATAAAGTCTACTCTACTGTCTCGAATCCACAGAAACAAAAGACTGCAGTGTTTCCTCCCACAGGCTGAAAACCTCATCAACGCCTAGTTTTATTTTCCAACAGTGCATCTAAAAAGAAATAGCAGATACGGGTTATTGGGCATTTATTACAGAATTCTTTGTTTTGTCTGGGGGCCTCCTTTAACCCCAAGAGAACCTTGGGTGCTAATATGGTAATACAGTATCACTTATCAACCACACCACTGCTCCTGTTTATTGCAGAGTAGCCTAGATCTGCAACTCCTATTTTTTTGAGATTTTATCTGAGAGCTGAGCTGTTTCTGGATATCCAGTAAAGTTATGGTTATTCGAACCTGCTATTCAGTTGCAGTAACAGATGCAGTAGTCCATGGAAAACTGGCTATGGATTGTCTACAATTGATCTAACCCTTACCGCAACGTAAATTAATAGAATATGAAATAAATGACATAAAACTGTATGGGATATTCAGGAACTCTAAATGCACATCCATGGGGGAGGTGGGTAGAGAAGAGAAGCATACGATGTGTCCTGAAATAGGACAAAGAAACTATAAAGAAGCAAACACCTGCATAGCAGGGGGTGACGGGACCGAAGGGCAAGAGTATTCTGGGACACAGGATGCCTTTAAAAGAAAGTCCAAGGAAGGTGGCTAGGCAAGAAGCTCCCATGCAAAAACAGCAGAGGAGGTCACTCAAAATGCCATCTAGTCCAAGACCAGAGAAGCATGCATAAGTACATCCTTGAGCAGATAGGGCACCCACAGATGGATGATTGGTCCTCTTCACAGTTAGGTGTAATGTGTACAAGAAAAGGAAACACCATGATGGAGTAATAGCCCTTCACAAAGGAAACTACCAGACGTTCAAAAGCATGGCTCTAGTAGTTACATACCGTAGTATTTGAGGTTGAATACAGACACAGGTCCATCAAATCCAACCTTTGTGTGTATGTGTGTGATTGTAGATTTGAATCTGTGTATACGAGTGCCTTTTCCGTCCTTGTTTTTAAGAGTACCTGTACCCCTGTATCTTGCGGTCTACGAGGAAGGTATCTAAATGCTTTTTGAATGATTCAATATTCTCAGCTGATACCAATTCTTGTGGCAGCGAGTTCCAGACTTTAACCAATCTCACTGAAAAAAAAAACCTGCGCCCCTTTTGGTTAAATCTTTTCTCCACCAGTTTTAGGTGGTGGCCTCTAGTCTTTGGTAGTAGTGAATGGTATTCATTTCAGCCCAACCTGCACATGGCATAGAACTGCACGCACTTGTTGGCTAGAAACTGGAGGGACTACCAGATCTATATCATATGGCATGTCACCCAGCCAGCAACTTGGTCCAAATAAAACCCAAGGAACTAGGATTTCCAGGAGGAAATGTCTCCCAGGAGGCAAGCACTTACTCCTAGACACTAGACTAAGAACTGAGCTTGTTTCACAATGTAGGGGTTTTGGCCTCGAACAAGGTCCTGCCCGAGCTTTTTTTTTATTTTCGGTTATATCCAGTTTCCTACTCCTGTATGTTGCACTATATCCAGTGGTAATGATCTTAAACAAAACCGTGTCATTCAATAAATTAAAGAAAAAGATGCACTCATCCACAACCTTTACCTCAACATAAAATAACCCCCACCCCCC